TGGTGTGGTGTAGTGTGGGTGTGGCATGGTGTGGTAGTGTGTGGTGTGGTGTGGGGTGTAGTGTAGTGTGTGTGGTGTGTTAGTGTGTGGTGTGGTGTGGTGTGTAGTGTGGTGTGTAGTGTGTGGTGTGGTGTGTGCATGTGGTGTATCGTGTGGTGTGTGCGTGTGGTGTATCGTGTGGTGTGTGTGGTGTGTGCGTGTGGTGTATCATGTGGTGTGTGCGTGTGGTGTGGTGCGTGTGGTGTATCGTGTGGTGTGTGCGTGTGGTGTATATCGTGTGGCGTGTGCGTGTGGTGTATGTGTGGTGTGTGCGTGTGGTGTATCGTGTGGTGTGTGCGTGTGGTGGTAATCGTGTGGTGTGGTGCGTGTGGGTGTATCGTGTGGTGTGTGCGTGTGGTGTAATCGTGTGGGTGTGTGCGTGTGGGTGTAATCGTGTGGTGTTGTGTGGTGGTGTATCGTGTGGTGTGTGCGTGTGGTGTATCGTGTGGTGTGGTGTATCGTGTGGTGTGTGTGCGTGTGGTGTATCATGTGGTGCGTGTGGTGTATCATGTGGTGTGTGTGGTGTATCATGTGGTGTGTGTGTGTATCATGTGGTGTGTGTGGTGTACATGTGGTGTGTGTGTGGTGTATCATGTGGTGTTGGTGGGTGTATCAATGTGGTTGTGTGTGGTGTATCATGTGGTGTGTGTGGTGTATCATGTGGTGTGTGTGTGTGGTGTATCGTGTGGGTGTGTGTGTGTGGTTGTATCGTGTGGTGTGTGGCTGGTGTATCGTGTGGTGTGTGCGTGTGGTGTGTGCGTGTGGTGTTGTGTGGTGTGTGCGTGTGGTGTATCGTGTGGTGTGTGCGTGTGGTGTATCTGTGTGGTGTATCGTGTGGTGTGTGACGTGTGGTGTATCGTGTGGTGTGTGTGCGTGTGGTGTATCGTGTGGTGTGTGGTGTGGTGTATCATTGTGGTGCGTGTGGTGTATCATGTGGTGTGTGTGGTGTATCATGTGGTGGTGTGTGTGGTGTATCATGTGGTGTGTGTGGTGGTATCATGTGGTGTATGTGGTGTGTGTGTTGTGTGGTGTATCAGTGGTGTGGTGTTGTGTATCGTGTGATGTATCGTGTAGTGTGTGTGTGATGTATCGTGTGGTGTGTGTGTGGTGTATCATGTTGGTGTGCGTGTGGTTTTCATGTGGTTGCGGTGTGGTGTATCATGTGGTGTGTGTGTGCGTGTGGTGTATCGTGTGGTGTGTGGCGGTGTGTGTATCGTGTGGTGTGTGTGTGCGTGTGGTGTATCGTGTGGTGTTGTGTGCGTGTGGGTGTATCGTGTGGTGTGTGGTGGTGTATCATGTGGTGTGTGGTGGTGTTATCGTGTGATGTATCGTGGTAGTGTGTGTGGTGTATTGTGTGGTGTGTGTGGTGCGTGTGGTGTATCATGTGGTGTGTGTGTGCGTGTGGTGTATCGTGTGGTGTGTGTGTGTGTGTGTGTGTTGTGTGTGTGTGTTGTATCGTGTGGTGTGTGTTGTATCGTGTGGTGTGTGTTGTATCGTGTGGTGTGTGTTGTATCGTGTGGTGTGTGTTGTATCGTGTGGTGGTGTGGTTTGTGTATGTGGGTGTATCGTGTGGTGTGTTTGTGGTGTGTGTGTGTGTATCGTGGGTGGTGTGTGTGTGTAATCGTGGTGTGTGTGTGTGGTGTATCGTGTGGTGTGTTGTGTGGTTATCGTGTGGTGTGTGTGTGTGTATCGTGGTGTGTGGTGTGCGTGTGGTGTATCGTGTGGTGTGTGTGTGCGTGTGGTGTATCGTGTGGTGTGTTGTGTGGCGTGGTGGTGTATCGTGTGGTGTGGTGTGGTGTATCGTGTGGTTATCATGTGGTGTGTGTGTGTATGATGTGGTGTGTGTGGTGTATGATGTGGTGTATTGTGTGGTGTGGTGGTGTATCATGTGGTGTGTGTGGTGTATCATGTGGTGTGTGGTGTATTATGTGGTGGTGTGTGGTGTATCGTGTGATGTATCGTGTAGTGTGTGTGTGGTGTATGTGGTGGTGGTGTGT